TCGATTGTCATTTTGTGCGAGATCATGTTTTACGAAATACAATCGCTACTTCTTATGTTCGTTCCGATCAGCAGATTGCAGACATTTTTACCAAAGCCCTTGGCATGAAGCAATTCGGTTTTCTTCGCAGCAAGTTGGGCATTTCTTCATTACATGCTCCAACTTGAGGGGGAGTGTTAGGATAAGATCACCTTTGATCTTATTCTTCAACTAATGAAGACCAAGTCTTTAGGAAGAGTTTGTTAATATCTTGTATCTGTATAGTTTGGTTAAGATAGTTTGTTTGTTCTCCATATAGTATTGTTACGATAGTATTAGTATTGTTACGATAGTTTGTTATCGTTTGTTTCAGTTTGTTGTCATTTGTATATATAATTGGCTATCTGCCACAAAGCAATACAACACTTATCATTCAATCCTTTCATACTTTTCTATACAAGACCACTTTAAATTTTTCCCTAGTTTTGCTGCAGTTCTTAGCCAAATCAATAAAAATAGCCAATAATTCATCATTAATTTTCAAAATATTGAACATAATCAACTCGACTTTTCCTATTCTACTTTCTTCACGCTTACCTAATGATCGAATTAGTAGCGGGAACTATAAATGCCAGCAACACGTGGGCAAAGGATGTTATGCTTGCGCGCAGCAAACAATTTCTTTTATATTGAAGAGATTATTCATGCGCCACACGAAATAGCGTGGTGACTATAATTTTTCTTTCACAAAAATATTTTTGCTCAGAATATAAGTTATTTATATTTATTTTTAAAATAAAATTATTTTGAAATTAAAAAATTATAATTATAAAGACTAAAATAATTTTAAAATAAATTAAAATTATAAAAATATTATAATTTTCATCTCAAAACGATATCGTATTAGACTTACTGCAGCAGATAACTTATATGTAATAATTACCGCAGCAAAAAAACGGATCCTTTTTTATAATAATTACTTTTATTCCGAAACGGATGGTCGAAAACATAAAAAACAAAAATTCATTTTCCTTTTTCCCCCATTTCCCTTGAATTAGACGCACGAAAGGAAGAGAGAGTTGATGGGTGGTGGTCGTAAAAAAAATAAATTATCGACAGCATCAAAAATCATCCAGTGGTTGTTGCATGTGCAAGTTCGGTGGGTAAAAGTCACCATGCCCATTGTCAAAGGTAAGCAGTTATACTCTGTAACTGGTAGTCTGTGAATCTTAATAATAAATTGACTAAAATCACTGTCTGTTTGTAGGATGATGAGTTGAATTGTCAATATTTTGCTTGGCTTTATAACTGAACCGACTGCATTGTAGCTCCTACAAATGAAAAAGAAATTTGATGGATGAATCTTATTTGCACGATTTGAAGTTTGCAAAGTGAAGTTAGAAGTCTAAAATTATGTGTAATAACAATGTGTATTCTTATGATGATGGTTTTTATGATAATGTGAGGGGTAGGTTTTGTTGTTGTTGTTGAAATAGGTACAACGGTATTATTAATAAGACATGTCTACTGGACTTTTCAATGTTTTTTTTGGATAGTAAAGTGCTTTTGTAATGACATTGAGAAAAATGGATTTGGTGCCCTATTGTTCCTGTACTTTGTGTAACAACATAAATGAAAGTGTGTTTGGATTTGGTGTCCCATTTTGATTTTGTATACTATGGTTCAAGTCTGTTTATCCTTTGTTTGGTTCATGGGATTTTGGCTCCTCCTTTTCCTTGGACAATAGAGCAAGAGACCTATGTAAAGCCAAAATAGTATGTTTGTTGATTGTTTCTTGGTAATATGATAATTGATAAAAGATTTTTGCTGGAGTTTAAAGACATATTATTAGCAATAAAGATTTAAGGATATATAATACATCCAATTAGCATTTTAGGATTTTTGAAGCTAAAACTAAATCCCAGTTTACTATGAAAATAGAACCTAATTTAAAACGTCACACATTCAAAGTTTAAGAGTAGATAAACCATTACAACAAAACTTATTTGCACTATTTCTGCAGAACCTATGCAATGCTCCATACCAGATGTGGGCTACATAATAAACCAGAGTTTACAAAAGCAAACTTACATAAGAACCTATGCAAAAGACCCTATAGAAGCAAATGTTCATAACAACGCATGCAGAAAGTTTGCCATTTTGGAAAATCAAACCTTGAGAACAACACATGTAGAAATGGGCCAATGGCACAAGGAATATGCTATTTTCATAGATACAAGACATGCAAAACAACACTTACACACCAGACCCAGACCCGGGTAACACAAAACTTGCACGCTTGTAAGAGACCTAAACCAGACTTGCATACTTATAATAGTCCTAAACTAGACTTGAACACTTATACCAGACCTAAATCAGACATCCAAAAATGACATGATATGAAGAATTGCCTTGTAGACTTAATATCTCCAACCAAACCATTTCCGCATGTTTACACAAATACAGAACTATATTTCTAGCTTACATGAATATCCATGTCAAAATAAGAACAGAATAAGAGCATAAGTGGCTTAGCAAAATGGAACTGCCTTCATTGCAACCATATTTGGTCTTACAAGTATCTAACAGATCTTCATCAAAACCATTTACAAAAAATTAAACTAGTATGGTATCCATGTAATATATATATAAGGCTAGATACATTATAAAAAATACTGTCTTATATTCTTCTTTGGTTAAGCAGGTCTGAGTCCTGGTATTGGAATTAACCTCATGAACCTTGATGCTGTAGTTGGGCTTACTGATTGCATTGTTTCTATATTAACAGATTCACGGGTAGCAGAACTAATTTTGCTGGTATTGGCAACTTAAGCTTCATGTCCCTTTCAATTTGCAGCTCTCTATTGTGGTTGTCTTAAACGTACAGGCTTAATTGGTGGTGGCCTTAAACCTTCAAGCCTAGTTGGTGGTGGCCTCCAACTAACAGGCAATGCATTGCATATGGTGAAATCAATTGCAGTTAATTGAACCAAATAGTGCCTCTAACAAGGTTAGCCTGCAATACAATACAAAAACATATTTAGTTACATGTCTGTTAAAAGAAATGTTCCACAATAGAGAAGCATCTTTTGAAGAAGATGATGTACCTTCACAAACCTTACTTAGCATCAACGGAACGGAACGGATTTTTGGGGATGAAAACAGGTTTGATTTTCAAAATTTTAGGACGTGTATGACAACCATTTTATTTTCTAGCACTATTTCTGAAAAGAAACAATTCTTTTCTATTTCTGTGCCTTGGAACAGTTTCTGAGAAAAAAAAATGTGTTTGATAACATGTTCTATTTTTGTTTTGAGAATGAGAATTATGTTTGATAACACAACAAATAATATAATAAAAAATAATTCCTATTAAATATAAGAAATTTCGGATCATCACTTTCTTTTCCATATGGTATGGTTGTGGTGGTGGTGGTGGTGGTTGTGACGGAAGTTGCTGCGGCGATGGCAGTGGTAATGGTGGCGGTGGCGGTAATGGTAGGGATGGTGGTGGTGGAGGTGACAGCAGTGGCTGCGACAATGGTGGTGGCGGTTGTGGTTGGTGGCGGCGACAATGGTAGCAGTGGCATGGTGATGGTGGTTGTGAGGCCATCATGGTGGTGGTGGTGGTGGTAGTGGTATGTAGGTGACAGTGGTGATGATGGTGGCGATGGTGGTGGCGGCAGCGATGGCGTGGTGATGGTAGTGGCGGGGGTGGTGGCGGCAGCGATGATGGTGACAGTAGTGGCTGCGACAATGGTAGTGGTGATTTGTGGTGGTGGTGGTGGCGTAGTGATGGCGATGGTGGTGACGGCAGTGGTTGCGATGATGGTGGTGGAGATTGATGACAGTAGTGGTGGTGACGGTGATAGTGGTGGTGGTGGTAGTTGTGGTGGTGGTGACAGTGACATGGTGGTAGTGATGGGTGGAGGTGGTGGTGATGGTGGCGGTGGCATCGTGGTGGTGGGGGTGGTGACGACGGCACTAGTGGTACGACGGTGGCGGCGATCGTGTCGAGATAATGGTGGTGATGGTGGTGGTGGTAGAGGTGGAGAGTGATTGAGAGAAATAAGTGTTTCTCATTTTGTGCCCGAGAACAAAAAAATAGAAATTTTTTGATTCTTTTTTTCTGTTTTCCAACACAAAAATTAAATCAGTTCATCCCGGGAACAAAAAAATAAATCGATTTTACCAAACGAGTTTTCTATCCAATTCTATTCCCGAGAATAAAAATTAAAAAAAAAAAAAAATTTCCGGCAAGGTAGTTATGCACATCCTATTGTGTTTTGCTTGAAATCTGAGTGAGGGGTTTTAGGTCATCCTTTGTTGGAAAAATTTGGTGGGGAAATGGGAGAGGGAAAATAAAATGTTATCTTTGACCTTACATTTACAAAACATGTGTCTAATAGGGAATTAATATTCTGATGTTAAAATTTCACATTAACTCATATGTAAAATAAGTGAAGGAGAAGCAGCAGGAAATTCAGTAAACATGTGCATTTAATGTGACATTTGACGTGTATCTGACTTTTATTAATGTGGGTACTAATTGCATTATATATCCACGCATTACCGATTTGAATTTTGTAGATGTGAAAAATGGTCACGTGATCATATTATTTATTTGATCATAATTATTTATGAATTTTCTAGTTCTCATGTTAAATGAGAATTGAGATATTATGTTGTAAAAACAAAAAAATATGTGAGACCCATATGTTAGAAAAAATTATGTGTAAGTCTCGTGTTAGCATAGAAAAATCAAAAAATGTATAAAAAGATTTCAGTTCTCATTTTAAACGACAATTATAAAACTCATCGTTTATTTAAAAATTATATATATATATATATATATATATATATATATATATATATATATATTTAATTGTGATCAAATAACATAATTAATAATGATCACTTTTTTCCACCAGTCCCACGGATTACACTTCTAAGAAATTCGAGAACAATTTTTAATCATTCAAAAACTATGACCAAGCCACGTATCTCACTTGTACAAAATTATTTACTCAGTTAATTTTAGTTGGTTGGATGATCCATATTGAAAAGGCAGGTAGCTTGACCTCGCTTATCCCTGTTTTTTAGGAATCCAAACTCGCTTTCCCCAAAAACCATGAATTGTTTGCGTACCCTTTTACAATTGGTGGCTCTGATTTTCCTTTTCACTCTTTTGTCTTTGGCCTCTGCCTCCGACACCTCTGAAGTCTTCGAAAGCTGGTGCAAGGAACATGGCAAAACATACTCTTCCGAAGAAGAGAAACGCTACAGGTTCAAAGTGTTCGAGGACAACTATGCCTTTGTCGCCCAACACAATCAAATTGGAAATTCTAGTTACACCCTCTCCCTCAACGCTTTCGCCGATCTCACCCACCATGAATTCAAGGCCTCTCGTCTCGGTTTGTCCCCTTCCTTGCTTAGATTCAACCGTGTCCAGGATCAACAACCCGATCACCATTTGAATGTTCCTTCTGAGTTTGATTGGAGAAAGAGCGGCGCGGTTACTCCGGTCAAAGACCAAGGAAGCTGTGGTATTTGCTATCTACTATTTTCCCTTTTTATTAAAAAAATGATTTTACTTCCTTAATATTGATAATTAATAGAATAAATATCTCTATTTTTTTAGCAAAGATAAATATCTCTCTTGAATCTTGATACTTTATTACCGAGTTCAATAAATGATCAGTATCCGCCTCTGCCTTTTACAATGTTGACATCAAACTGAAAGAGAAGAAGGAAAAAAAAAAATATGTTTGCATTTTTTGTGCTAAAAGGTCTGACTTGAATGTTAGACAATATTGATCTAGCTTTTGGAGTGGTAAACTCAAGTCCATAATGGCAAAAACTTTTTTCCCTGACCCATCTCAAATTGGACTAGTCGCGAAGTGATGTACCGATTGGAATATCTCAAAATAAAAATAAAAATGGTAGACAATGTTTTAGTGTTAGAAGAAGAAGGTGTGTGTCCCAGGTTATGCTGGGTTGTTAGGACTTATAAGTACTAATACTAGTACTATATGCATAAATACACGAACGATTGACAAATTACTATAATCTGATCAGCTGATTCTAATTACCTAAACTTGTAATTATCAATGTAATTTGTGATGGTAGAGAGTAAATATATATGTACACGAGATGGAATTCAGTTAGTGATAACCCTAAATGTATATTATGTAGGTGCTTGTTGGTCGTTCTCTGCTACAGGTGCTATTGAAGGTATAAATAAGATTGTCACTGGGTCTCTTGTAAGCCTTTCTGAACAAGAACTGGTAGATTGTGATAGAACCTACAACAGCGGTTGTGATGGGGGTCTCATGACCTATGCTTACCAATTTGTCATTGATAACAATGGGATTGACACTGAGGAAGATTATCCATATCAAGGTCGTGATAGTTCTTGCGATAAGAACAAGGTATTTGCATGTTTTTCTACCATTCCCCCTAAAAAATGTTGAATTGTTAAGTTTTGTAGTCTATCAAAATGCTTGTAAATTATCTTGTCATTCCTTTTTTCTCCTTTCTGTTTATTGGTTTTGCCAAGATCAGTAAGTTTGTCTGTATTCACTTTTTTCCTACACCTATTCTACAGTTAAGAAGGCATGTTGTTACAATTGATGGTTACACTGATGTGCCACCAAGTAACGAGAAAAAACTACTAAAGGCTGTTGCATCCCAGCCTGTGAGCGTGGGCATATGTGGTAGTGATAGAGCTTTCCAGTTATACTCAAAGGTTGGTCCCAGTGGTCAATATTAACATAGGTTCGCCAATTATTGATTGCAATAAGATGCTGATCTTATTTCTGTATCAGGGTATCTTTACCGGGCCATGTTCAACTTCTTTGGATCATGCAGTGTTGATTGTAGGATATGGTTCAGAAAATGGTGTAGATTATTGGATTGTAAAGAACTCATGGGGATCATCTTGGGGAATGAATGGTTACATACACATGATACGAAACAGTGGCAATTCCCAAGGACTATGTGGAATCAACATGTTAGCTTCATATCCTACCAAGACCAGTCCTAACCCTCCTACCCCACCTCCCCCAGGTCCTACAAAATGTAGTCTGTTTACTTACTGTTCAGAAGGGGAAACATGTTGCTGTGCTAGGCGCCTTCTTGGAATATGCTTTTCATGGAAATGCTGTGGGTTAACTTCTGCTGTGTGTTGTAAGGACAAGCGCTACTGTTGCCCCCAAGATTATCCTGTTTGTGATACAAGAAGGGGCCAATGTCTTAAGGTTTATATGAACTGCTTCCTTCCTATACGTGTCATAAATAAATGATCTAATGGTGTGTAAACTGAGTAATGGATTTGTCGACATATATGTTCTAATCAAATCTATTTGATTATGCATGAGTTTTAAAATCAACAATTTTAAGCTGCTTACCATGTTGCTGGCTGCATTTTTTTGTTTATGCTTACTGACTGTCTATATTCTTCCAGAGAATTGCAAATGGAACGACAACAATGGCATCTGAGAAAGAGGGCTCTTTCCGTAAGCCAAGAGGATGGGAATCTCATTAAGGTTTTATGTTTTACGTCATCCATTTGTATTATTCAGCCATTCTAGTTGCTCTCCTGTTTGTATTACTAGTATCCGTTTACGGTTCAAAAGCAAACAAATTTTGACGAATGGATTATATTCATTATGGTATGGGGATATTGATAGGGTAGGGAATGTGCGTACAATCCGAGTGTAATACTGCAGAGTACACATCTATGTTTTGGTATGTATTCTTGCCCACAGGCCACAGCTTTATTAGCATAAAGTTGTTAATACGAGAATGTGACTTATGAAGACAATTCTTGTAATAACTTGCTTCTTAAGTTCGTGGGACTAGAGACAAGGACAAGAATGTGGTATATACTGCCCCAAGAAACAGCCCCGAGGCCTCTCCTAGAGCCTGTTCTGTCTCAAGTTAGATTACAATTGCAGATGATGTGTTGTGATTTTCAAGATTGGTGAAAATGGGATGAATAATTGTGTTCATTTCGGTTGTTTATGGCATACTTGGATTAATAGTTTACATATTGTTGGATGATGAAATATGTGAAATAGTGGTGTTTATTAAGGAGACAGGTGGTGGCAAATTATTGTGCCCAAATAATAGGTAGACAGTCAAAAGAAGTGTGTCTGCACGCAGTTAGAAAAATAAGGATTTCAAGAATTATCTGTAAGGTTTAATTCTTTATTTATCGAAGGATTTACTTGATCATGGATAAGGGTCATTTTTCAAGGTTGATGGGCCCATTACCTGGCTTCAAAACAAAGACCCCAAACCCCAGTTTGTAGTGAACTACTTGAATTTTGAAGAAAAAAAATTATGGATAATTTCAATTTTAAAAATAATACTGATTTAATGAAATCTTCAAACAAATTATCGAAATAATGTAGTCAATTGCGCATATGGTAGGTGCGCGCTCCTAGTTTTGCATACAAGGATAATGTCCAACTACAACTACTACATGGCAACCCACTATGAGTTGCGTATCATCCTTGTGTGCAACTAATTATGTGCGCAACTAGTTGCATGGTATATTAAGGTCAAACCAACCCCACCTCTTTCATTTCACAACGTCTACCATGTCTCTAAATTTTTTCTCTTGGAGCTCTCTCTCGAGTAAGTCATCTAACCCTCTATCTAATTTTTTCAGTTATAGTAATAGGTATATAGACTAGGATATTGATAATTATGTATAATATGATAGTGATAATTAAGTATAATTAGGGTAGTGATCAATATGTAAAATACGGCATTGATAAATATATGTAGGCAGGGTAATAATGATTATTTTTAGGTAAAATAGTGTTAATTATATTTATGATGTGTAGTAATAACAAATAGTATTTAGTAATTAATACAAAGTGAAAATAATTAGTTAATAATTTATATATTTATCAGAAGTTTAATTACTAAAATAAATATCTTTTGGTAGATTAATTTTGAATTAGGGACATGGTTTTCTCCATTTTCCTCTTCATTATCGAATCATTCTTCTGAGCACTTTTATGATGATGGTTTCCATCAAGGTTGCATTGTCATGATTAGGGGTGATAAATGAGCTAGGGGCCTTTGGCTCGGCTCGTGAAGGCCTAAGCTTACATGCCTAATATTGATTGTTGGAATCAGGCTTGAACTTGTATAAAAGCTCGTTTAGTAAAGAGGCCTCAGACTCCAATTTAAAAGCTCGGCCTTGGAGCTTCTCAGACTGGCCTAGTATATTAATTTTTATTTATATTTTTTATACTATTTGTAATAGCCTTCTCTCTTCTCTCAATCCATTTCACCCTTATTTTATTAGTTAAACAGACTTTTTGAATGATTTTGTTCTATATTATGTTGTTTGGATATACGTTGAATTTATGAATATTTATGGAATTACTAGTGTTGTTGATTGTATATTCTATTTGGATAAATTTTTGTTGTCTTATTTTTTTTAACAAGCTAACAGGCTAAATCAAGCTTTTATTTTTTGTAAATAAGGCAGACCACAGGTCGATAATTATATTCATAACAGGTAACAGACTTAGTAAGGCCGACACATTTAAACACAGGCTTAATCTTTTAAGACCAAAGCTTAGCTCGACCCGTTAACATGATCCCAGAGAATACACTTTATTAAGGTGGCACACGCAGAGGAAAAATATGTCGCAGGCCGCATAGAACGACAGCTAGACGAGGATTCTAAAGGTCCTACGAGCACAGTATGGTGATGTGGAAGCCTAATAACATCTCGAAGATGGTTGCCGATCACTTGACTCAAGCCAAATTTATTGGGACAGTGGCCAAAGTGTCACTATTAGATAAAAAAACACACCAAAATGTCACGCCAACAGTAAATTTTCTCAAAATGCCACGTGGCATATTTCGCTACACTGTGTAGCGAAATATGTGTACAAATAATTCGCTACACGGTGTAGCGAAATATGCCGCATCAGAATGCACAGAACCAAAAAAGCCACATGTCAGACAGAGAGAATTTCGTTATACTGTGTAGGAAATTCTCCCTGTTTGACACGTGGCATTTTTTGTTCTGATGTGGCATATTTCGCTATATCGTGTAGCGAATTATTGCACACATATTTCGCTACACAATGTAGCAAAATATGCCACGTGACATTTTGACAAAATTTACTGTTAGCATGATATTTTGGTGTTTTTTTTTTTCTCAATAGTGACACTTTGACCGCTGTTCCGAATTTATTCGTGTGGCCCCCATGATTGAACTAATTACATTAATTAGTTGCACACATACCTAATGCGCAACTCACGGGAACTTGTTAACTGTCATGTACGCAACTAATTACGCACTAGACATGTCCGCAACCGGATGTATTAGTTCGATAAAATGTTAGTTTTCCATCAAATGGGTAAACTTTTTTTTAATTGCAATTATATGGTTTTTTTTCTCCCTTAATTTCGTTCTCAAATAATATGATTGCCAATAGATTTTGCTCGAGAATTTGAGTGTTAAACTAAAAACTTTTCCATTAGGTAAAACCATAATTTGCAAGAGAGTATAATTCAAACATGTCAATTTAAACTAAAAATGAACAATTTTGTGAAGAACAAGAATGCTAAATGTCACAAAGCCTATCGTGACTTCTGTACGAATAGTTTTAATGGAAACGTTTATTTCCAAGATGTACATCTTCCACTTTTTACTTGCCAAGATTTCCATCCTCATTTTATTTTATCAGGACCACCGATTATATGGAGTACGTGAAGCAATTTTCGTACCAAGGAGCATTACTTTTTTAAGAAATCAATCACAGCTAACCAAGCAGAACATGTTTGCCAGACGCACAAGCATTTGCTTATATTTTTTATATACAACTAAAATCAATAACGCATGAACGCAGGTGCATCGTGTAATCTGATAGGAATCCTGCTATAAGAGTTTATCCTAGGAAGCAATCCTGAAGAGGCCGAACAGAATTCAATTGATAACTTAAGTATTGACGGGAAGGATGCAGAAGTAAGAGCAATATCTGAGTGACCCGGCATCTAGAAATTGGGATTTGGTATTGGATGTTGGGAAGGACTAAGCTAACTGCTCTTGATCTACCTTTCTTTTTTCTGTTTCTATACGTTCATTCTTCATTACCTATAACCTGTCTCCGTTTGTATCGCAATCTTCGGTATTGCTAAATTGCTACTTTTTTAGGGTTATTAATGCAAGAATCATTCGGTTTACTTTTTGATTCTCATATTTTCCTTGATTGATATCTATCATAATCCCTGCCCCCAAAAAAAGAAATAGCAAAGGCTCTTGTGCCTTTTTCATGTGTCCACATTCTTGACAGAAAATATCAACTGTTTATGTTACTTGCCTGATGCAAGCTTTTGCAGAAACATGCCTCAGTTGTAATCAGACATGAGTAACCAAAACAATAGAAACCGTCAAAACCCTTATACAGCGTCCGATAAAATCAGGTGAAAAAGCCAGATCTGTATTGTATCTAATGGCCACAATGATAACTCATCCCACAGTCAAACACTTGCTCCAATCAGCCAGTGAAAACTAAGCAAAATATGCGTCCCAGATGATTTGGTTCCAGTAGCTCCAGTTATTTTTATTTTTATTTTTATTTAAAATGTTCATGAGCCTATCCCTCAAACTGAAACGAGTTATTTCTGCATTCAATCTTTAAACTAAAAATTGTCTCAATATTCCAATACTTGCAATTGCAGAACTGCAAAATCCAAATAAATTTGGCAAAGCCAAAGCCAATTAGCATTCATAACAATTTACATTTACTGAGAATACCAGTGATTTAATGAGGTAGTATCAACAAGTATTAGGTCTAACCCCATTTACTAGCCATAAACATCAGCAACACAGGACTTGGGAAAGAAATCTCAATCTTAGTGTATGCATTTGTTCTAAAGCAGATTATGCAGCTGACTGTCAGTGTCAGGTAGCGATATTACACAGAATCAATGTTTTCAGCAAGCTGATTTAAAATTGATAGGGTGGAAAATAGGATCCTATTAGTATGTGCCCACTGCCCAGTACAACTAATGAATTGATTTAACTCACAAGGTTCATTCCATAAAGCCACTTCACGGTGTCAATCATGATAAACATTCTCAATTAGTTTGTTGTTTGGTTCCAAGGAAAGCGCTAATACCATTTACAGTAAGGGCAATTTTAGTTCCCAAGAACAATATGGAGGAGGAGTTTGACGACCAAAAACACATACAATAAGTTGCAGAAATCATTTTATAAGTCTGATATAAAATTAGAAATTCTAACTAGTCTTTTAAATTATGCGCTTATGAATTCTTACTTATTTGGTTTAAAGGTTCAGAAACAGAAGATGCCCCACAAGACTAAAAGTGAATAATAACTATTAAGGTAGTGATAGTCCCGGGTCATGCCAATTAAGATAGGCGCAAAAAGGAACATCTTTTAGCTTGAGTTGATTTTCTAAAAGGGTTCAGATTCGCAAACCAAGAGAAAGAGGAGCATTCGCAAATTGTATCTACTATCAAGTATCAGAGTATATAAAATGTATCACAAAATCAAATAACTAGAAGCATATGAAAATGCTTACACCTTGCGTGTTGTTTCTGATATGGAATCCCAAAGGCATTGCATTTGCATTTGCATTTGCATCAAGAAGAGGAAGAAGAAGAAGAAGAAGAAGGGAAGACATCTTTGACAGCAGAGGCAGCAGTGAGGTAATTAAGCGTATTCCTTAAGGTTTCCTTCTCCCTCATCAATCTGGCTGCAGTGTCCTCTAATTCAAGAAGAGCTTGTTGCTCTCTCGGTGCACCCTCGAAAGTGCTTCCAACAAAGAACGAAAACGGCGTCGGGAACAAGTTCCTCCTCAAATCCCCAACCTCCTTCTCCGGTTTCCCACCCAACCGATTCGATAACCGAATAACGTCCTTCATGTAGGTCTCCACCTCGTTGGCCAAACCGTCCAGGTCGAGCTCCTTCGAAGGAGAAGGCCTATCCTCGAGCCACGTCACCTCAGCCACCAGGTACGGCTTCGTCCGAACCACGTTCGTCACGCGGAACCGCTCCTGCCCTTTGCAGATTAAGAAGAACCGGTCATCCACGAGCCGTTCGTGCTTGATGACTTCTCCCACGCAGCCCACGTCGGCGGTTCCCGAAACGGCGTCGCTGTAGAGAACCCCGAAGCGTAGATCCGTGTGGAGGAGAGTGTGCATCATTATCCGGTAACGGAACTCGAAGATCTGGAGAGGAAGGATTGCGCCGGGGAAGAGGACCAGAGGGAGAGGGAAGAGAGGGAGTTCGACGACGTCGTCGGACTTGGGGGAGTTGGTGTGGTGCTTCTCCGAGAATGAGGAGGCGGAGCATCGGAGGATGGAATTGGACTTCCGGCGGTGGTGGAGAACACGAAGATGCTGCGGTGTTGTTGATGATAGGAATTTAGGGTTTAAGAAGAGTGTATTTGGGTTTAAAGAAGGGTTGTGATTGTGAGGTAGAGATGAAGTTGAAGGTGAAGGGATGATCTGTGGGAATGCCATTTCCAATATGAAATTTTAGAGTATAGTATTGGAAACCATTTAATTTTGTGTTGTTAATTTAATAAGCGTGCGATTGTGTTGCTGCTGACTTCACACTCCGAATGGCGAGCGAAGCTACTGAAATGAAATCTGTGTCCAATATCAAATACACGGAAATGGTGATTTTGGGTGATTTTTAATCACAAGCGGGAGAGTATGTGGATGAGATAAAGACTAAAGAGGATTAAGCACAAAGAGAGAAGAAATATGGTTCGTGGTTCTGGATATTCCACGTGAGAATCCTATTTTATGGACAATGGAGATCGAGCTTGATATCAAGCCCAAATACATCATCCTCTTCGGCCCAACGGCCCAAATAAAATTTGACCTAAACCGAACCTTTCAATCAAATTATTAAATAATAACTAGGTCGGTCATACAAAGCAGTCATTGTCTCTGACGAAGGGCAATGCGTCACGAATATATGGACAACGCAACAAAGGCGTGTCGGCCAAATTTTTTTTTTTTAACATTTTGTGGATAAAGACAGACATATGACCAAGTTTTCAGTAATTGGAAAATCCTATATATAAGACGGAGGGAGGCGACTTGATTGATAGATATAGTTAAGACTTAAGCGAAGCGAGAAAAGATTTGAAGTTAGAGGGAGAAAGAGAAGAATGGCTGAGATCGAGGGACAAGTTATCGGTATCCACACGGTGGAGGCATGGAACGAACAGATCCAGAAGGGAAATGAATCCAACAAACTCGTTAGTACCCCCAAACTTCACCTTCATTTTTATTTTATTTTTTTTCTTCTGTTATTATATCGATCCGGGTTTATTAGGGTTTTCAAATTCCTTTATCGTTTCCTGCCTTTCAAGGGGCCAATTTTTGTGACCAACCTCAACTCTGGATTCCTTTGTACATAGAGATAGATTTGTTAATTTTGCGAACCGTTTTGGGGTTATCTCTCTTAAATTGTGAGGCTAAGTTATTTTGTCAAATTTTCCTAATTAATCAACACAGAATTATCAGGTTTTTCCTGAAATTTGTGGAGAAGTGCTAGACTGCTACTCTTTACTCTTTCTTGGAAATTAGCATGGTGGATGCTTTTCAGATTTTTCTAAATGAGATGAGGACGTAGCTAATAGTATGGTCCATCATGGATAAGATAATTCCTAGATTATCTATTCCTACGAAATCGGTGCTGGTCGGTTGAACATGGTACCAGCATGAAGATCGTTGTCCCTCTGATATTTTCATCCCCTATTAGTCAATGTATAAATTTGATTCTTGCCCTGTTTTCTCCTGTCTCTGGATTCTTAATTAATATGCATGTTTGGCTTTTTAAAATCCGATCACATTTTGCAACATGTTCATTTTGTATCCAAATTGCAACGTTTGAGAACACCTTCATCTTTTTTTTATGGTGATCTAACATCAGTATTTACTTGGCACTTTTCTTAGTGGCATTGTTTTGAAATCTTCAATTAGCCTGAAGTTACACCATTGTTCTTAAAAATTTTAGCTGCCTCGTTTTGTGATTTAGTCTGTTATTGACGATCGAAGCATTGTTGGCATGATTTATGATTCTCTATAACTGTTAATCAATACTGAAAGGAAATTACATTAATAGATTGTGGTGGATTTTACTGCTTCTTGGTGCGGCCCGTGCCGATTCATTTCCCCAATTCTAGCAGAGATAGCTAAAAAGCTGCCAAATGTCACCTTCCTCAAGGTGGATGTGGATGAGTTGAAGGTGAGCATATCTAAATCTACCGGGATGATATTATTTTATGAGTAAATACCCTTTTTAGTCCCTAACAAAAATCACGGTCTCCACTTTAGTCTCTTACAAAAATAAATTAGTCAGTTAGTCCCTAACAAATTCGAAGAGACAAAAGTGGGGATCATGTTTTTTTGTTAGGGATAAAAAATGGTCTTTACTCTTATTTTATTTTTATTTCCAAATCCTAAAGTGTATGAAGATTATTTCTTTAACTAAGAATCCTGCATTCACCGTGATTCCTTCAGACTGTTTCTGAGGAGTGGGGTGTTGAGTCTATGCCAACCTTCCTGTTCTTGAAAGAAGGCAAGCTAGTGGACAAGGTTGTGGGTGCTAAGAAGGAAGAGCTGCAACTGACAATAGCAAAGCATGCAACTGCAACTGCTGCTGCTTGAAGTATCATTTGAATATGTTGAGAATAGATTGCTGTTTTTGAGTCAGTTTGCAGTTTACTGTTTTTGAGTGAGTTTGCTTTATTTCGGTATTGGGTTTAGATGGGAATAGATCATTCTCAGGTTAAAATTTTACATGAATTTTAACGTAAAGGATCCTTTCCCGAGTTTGGATTGAGTCAGATTGTATTATTTCAGTATGGGATTGGACTAGGGTGTATATATAAATAAGATCGTTGAACTATTGTTAATGAAACGAGCAATATGATAAGCAACTAACTTGCATTAGCAAGTGGTTACTATATATATGAAAATATTTAGCGTTGTGCGTCTTAATTTTATCATCCCGTGGCATTGCTAACTGCTATTCATTGTTCAAAATCAGCAGCAGGGTATAATGGCGGCACACTGATTTAAAGTTAGAATCTACTGCTGCAAAATAAAAAGATTGTTTTTGGAATTTTATGAATGGAAAGCAACCCCTCGCTTCTTCGACAAACCCATCCGTGATTGTTTCCTTCGATGGGTCGTGTACTAACATATTGAGAGAATAAATCACAAATCATATGGGGTCATATTTTAATAAGTTGGGGGCGATAGCGTGCATTTAAAACTGACCAAAGACTCAGAACTAGTGATAATTATTGGAATGAACCTGAAGAATTTCATAATTTATATCAAGTGGTGGGCTATGGATTGTATATATTCGGGTGATATGTGATTGTGATTGTTATTAACAAATCACAGGCTGACGCCTAGAAAAAGGTTGAAGAATCATAATTGGCAGCACGATGGCATTGGATTATAGTGGAAATTTCGACACGAACGATGGATAGAAGCAACATGACTGCAGCACAATAGATTATATATCACATGAAAACATTTGGGTTATATGAAATGATGGTCTAGCTGGGGAAAATGTTATTTCTTTAAATAACAATGATCATTGCCAATTAAGCATGCCTCTTGCTAAATATAAACTTCCCAATCACAAGTACTCTCTTCACTGTATGGTCAGTCGCTGAAGTGGAGGCTATACACAAGTACTCTCTTCCTGACAAGATGACTGGTGAGCAAAACAGTTGCCGAGCATGCAACTGCTGCTGCACGAGTCTAGGAATATCATTCATATGGGGTCATCAATGAGGATCGCGTGGATAAATGGTTGCTTTCACATATTGCTTAAACCGCTTTAACTGGTAATGATTGAAACTAGTGACATTTTGATGATTGAATGGCAACTACAAACATACGTGCATGTACCTATGTACATACATTTTATAAATAAATGAACGAAAGAACCTCTCTTAAGATTGTAATTTTCTTTCTTCCAAGTAGATACATTGTCATGTTGAAAATAAATACACAAATCATCGTGGCAACATCTTTTGTGTCAATCACGGTGGTCCATTTTGAGGCAAGATCAAGAAGAGAAAGAGACCATAGAATTAGGGATAAACACATCTAACCCTGAAGGGATGAATTTCCACGTACCAACTGAAGTTGATTTATTGCGAAGTTATGATAACTTATTGCTTCAAAGCTACCCTCGTTTCAAGCAATGCCAACTAAAGCCAGAGAATTCACAAGTGGACGTACAATGTCTTGTTCCCGTTCTTTAATTCTTTGAATTCACTAGCTGCTGGAGTATGTACCATTCTCTTTACTAGAGATATTTTCCAAGGATTTCCTCCTAATTCTTCTAACACCACTATCAAGTTCTTTGTTGGCTTTAGCCAGGACCTTGGAATGTGATACCTGCGAAATTCCAACAGCAAACGGGTAAATATGTATATTCTTCATTATTGGCCTCTGATATAGAATAATACATAGTGGCATTGGATCTAGGACATTTTACCAAAAAAAGTCGTGTCATCATCATGACACACACACACACACATATATATATATATAGAGAGAGAGAGAGAGAGAGAGAAATGCAGATGCTACTTGACACAACCAAAGGCAAATATTTCACACACACACACACATATATATAGAGAGTAATGCTACTTGACACATTTAAAGGCAAATATTCAAAATAACACACCCCTCCGCACAATATTTTATCACTTTGCACATGACATTGAGATCTGACAGACTGTAAAAGTTCAATGGCTCTCTGATTGTACCATTTTCCTAGAAATAAAGAAGTAAGGTTGAAGTTAAATCTTTTAGAGAAAAGCAGTACCATTGCTGAGTGGGTTGTCCACAACCAAGTTGGCATTCTACAGGCCGGAATGTCCCAGAATAGCTGCAAGAATTACAGTCACCCTTTGCATGAGCCATCCAATATCTTCCTATGCTCTGCCCGTTTATCCATACTTGACCCTTTCCCATACTTCCCAGGTCCAAAGCCAATGGTTCGTTTCCCTCAGGTGCGTTGAAATAAGCCTGGAGGTTCCAAGTTGATGGTAAGCATCTAGTTAAATACTGCAGCATATCTTGTTATTAGCCAGTAGTAACTGCTCTTACCTTGTGCCATTTCAATTCCGACCTGCTTTGTGTAGCCAGTGACTCTTGGACCCAATCAACAGATGAGACACCATTTGGAGAAGCCAAATTCATAGCCTCTCCTTTTAGGCCAACCTGTTGGAGAAGATACAGTAATTAGAAAAGAATTTCTCGTCATATTAATTGAAACTTATGAACACATAAATTTTTGTGTATTTTTCTGTGAGCGTTGTACCTGATATGACCATTTATTCCACGTCAAATCTTTCTGTCCGTGGTCAAGACCATGGAGCAAAACTGGACCAGTGATCCCTGTATTCCACGTTTCATAATGCCGGCCAACATTCTTCCGATGAAAAATGGAAAAAGGAAAGAGCAAAATCAATCAGTGACTAACGACTTATTTGCCAAGCAAATTGAAACACTTGAAGTAGCACAAGCAGCAAGGCACTAAGTACTAACTGGTAATCCGACGGTCATGCTGAGAAGCGCAATTTTATTTGTTCCAGCGTGTAGGTTGATAGGCCCATTAAATGTGCAAGTTCTCTGTTCTCTTGTCCCAAAGGCTGACCCTGTAAGAGCAATCATTTATCTTCATTCACCTCAAAATCAATCAATATAAGAACTACCATGTTTAACTGCATATCTTCGTACCTGAAAATTGCCCATTAACAAACACATGAACGGCATGCCCAGCAGACTGCACGCTAATGCTGGGTTTGTATCCTCCTCGAATAAATGATTCTGATGAACTTATGTCAACACTGCGGCATGGCAACAAGAAATCAGTTAAGGTTTCAAATGCTGAACGTAGGATAATAGAATCTATCCCACAAAGAATTTAAATTTGAAAGATGTCAAAAATGGCCAAGTTCAGGAACTTCTTGCAAACTAAAACAAGCAAATTTCTTCTGCTAGAATCTGCATACTGTTACAAACTTACAAAAGCCATTGAGGAATTTACTGTTTTGTCATTGTACAAATAACCCGAACGAATTCTAAAATATTTCATAGCTGTTTGAAAATCTAGGAGATAACCTTTATATCGAGCAACTTACTTGGTTATGTACCATAGATAGTCACTGGTGTCTCTGGTAACGTTCAGCTGTTCTAAGAGTCCAGCAGCTGTAATCCTTGAACTTTCGGCCATAGAAGATAGATCTTCATCATAGGTCTCCCATGAGAACAACTTAGAACTGATGGGAAGCATTTTTACCTGTGAAGTTTGAACTCTCACCTTCATGAAGACATAACACTCCAATCAATTACTTGATGCAAAGGGCAAGGCTGATAAGAAATAAATACTGATGGACAACAAAATTTTACATCACATTTATTTGACATAGCGCAAAAGGTCCCTTGAAATATTCTTACTTTTGCAGTATTAAATACAGAAGTTCTGCAATCAGGAAGGATGCTTATGGACCAAGGAGGCAAGTCATAGGGCCTGTTATTGAACATCACCCTCGCACCAGATTGTGCATGATAGTTTGCTAGAAAAGCTGCACATGTTCCTGTCCCTGACGAGAATACATGAGCCTGGAAAATCATAAAGCACATAGAGAAAAGAAGGTAATTGTTACCACAAAGACTAGTTTATCATAAACAAGCACGAAACTAGAAGAGGGTAATTGCTTCATCTGGGAGACAACTCACCTGCTGAAAAGTTCCTAATGATGTAACAGTAGGATCCGAAGAAACCAAAGCATGCTCACATTGCTTGATAGCTTTATGAAGCTCCTTCAAATGACTATATTTTGGTTGCCTGATCAAGCCTAAACACAGTGAAGTGCTCAATTGCAACATGCTCGTATACGTTAGGATGGAACAATATATAACATTAAACTATCTTAAGGCCACAACAGGTGGAAACAAAATCCAGTCTCAATTCACCCTTGCGCGCGTGTCTAATGGGGAAAAGAGAGAGGTCATATTCATCTATACTTTAACTGGAGAATTATGAGGCATTATTTCATGGGCTTGGTTGTCGTTTAAAAACATGAATTCACAGCTTAGTAAACTATATCTGTACTGCTCCAGTTAGATGACTAGTTAATAATGGAGGAAACAAAATAATGAATCTTCTCATTATCAGCATGTTTTTCTCACCATATTCATCAATTGGAGCGTCATAGTCATAGCTTGTAGTGATGAACGGGCCTCCAGCAGATCGTCCAAAGTTAGTCCCTCCATGGTACTATCATTTTTCAATAATCACAGGTGAAAATTCAGATTTTAAAGTAAGGCAACAAGAAGAACCACCAAGCCTTGTCCCACTAGTGAGGTTATTTGTTGTTAAATTGGGAAATAAACCATAGAAGGTGACTAACCATGTAATAATTCACATATGAGCCACCCTTTTGTATGAAACGAGCAACTGCAAATGCTAGATCCTGAACTGGTCGCTGGTGAATTGGGCCACCAAATTCTGTAAACCTTATGATCATGGGGAGTAGAAAAAAGATTTTAGAACAAAAGGGTAAAGAAATTAAAGAGCCGTATCTAAAGCTACAGAACCAACTTCAAACATGATACAATATATAGCTTACCAGCCACTCCAAGACTCAGTCCACAGGTTAGGCTTGTATGGTTTATTTGGAGAGAAATCATCACAGTAAAAACCGTTGCATGAATTTATCTGTAGTGGGAATTCGATGGATCATATTCAACCCTTAATAAAAATACAGTGATGATGAACTTAAAGAAAGAACTTGAGACCAAACAAAATCTGTTGTTGAAGTCAATCCCCGTGAAGTGTGACAACTGAAGCAAATGAATCAACCAAGAGAATGAGAGGGCTCACCACAGGATCTGGGGCATCATTTTCCTTGCACATCACCCAGGGGACTCCTGTACCCAATCCAACAGCCATACTTGCAGCCCAGTTTAT